AAAAAAAAAAAAAAAACAAAAACAAAAAGAAGAAAAAGAAAAAAACACCCTCCCAATTATGAACTATTAAATGGGCTTTCATTTTTCAGGAATTAATGAAGGGTGTTAATCAAGCTGAGATTTTGCCAAACCATTATGATGCCTCTCTTCTTGCAGCTCAGGTATTACTGATTTTTACAATCACTATGAAGTGGAAACTTGATGCATTCCTCACCTTTTGCTTAGAATCTTTCCTTCATTTTGATGTTAGCATTATTTCGAATGTTCCATTTTAGTTTTTGAACCTTGTCCTCGCGGAGTTTTCATAATTTAATAATATATGATGCTTTAACTACTTGTTCTAGAAAAACAACTCAGCAGTGTTGTACGTACTTCATTAGAATTAATCATATGGTGGAGGCTGGTTTGAGATTGCTAATTTATTTAAGGCCTGAAGTGACTGTGTTTTAAAATTTGGTTTGCATTTTCTAGATTCTGATAATTTGTAAAAGCATGAACTTTGACATATTCTTCTTTTTACACTTTTTTGTCTCATTTAAAACAGAGTAAAATAACTGATAAAAGATATTCCTAATTATTTAAGTGAAATTAAGTTTTGTAGTACAAGCCACAATTTAAAAATTTTCCAATATTGTAGGAAAATCCACACTTCCATTTTTTTTCAATTAATCATTACTCATTTGTTGCGCTAATTTGTAGATACGGAACTTGGCTCAAGAGGTTAGGGATTTGACTTCATCTAGACCAGTGCATATATTCAATGGGGACTCTTCTAGTGGTATTCTCTTACACTTTTCTTTTATTGCCTAATTTCTACATCCAACTATTAAGATTTAACTGATTATTTTATTTTATTTTTGGTTAATGGCGGTGTGAGGGGTTCCCCTTCAATATCAGAGTACTGTAATTAATGTTCTTAATTTTTATTATTATCATCTTTGCTCTGATATATATATAAATCTATTTCTTGGTCCTTTTATTTGGAGCTTCACATTAGCATACCCTTTCAATATTATATCTGAATGATGACAGCGTTCACTTTGATCATGTGCATATAGAAAGTTTGACCTTTTGTTACTTTGGTCATGATTTTTTTATCAGGTATTTCATGAAGGTAGGTGATTGTCATATAGAGTGGAGTTGCATTTATATATTTTTGAGTGTGTAATTTTTGGTTCTTGACTTC